CACTTGGTCTGGGTGGCTCATTATAGACTAAGAAATGATGGGTCACACCAGAGAGCACTTTGGCATGACAATTTGAAGGACAGGGACCACACAGGAATACAGAGCTGAGTGGTGTGAGCCTGGACACTTTTTTTGAGACTCAGGGTTCTTGAGGTTTGTAGACCATCATGAGTGAAAAAATAGGAGGAATGTCTTCTGTGTGTATCATGGCTCAGGTCAGGCACACCTTAGTCTTCAAAGTGACATCTTTGCTTCTTAACACTTGAAAGAGGTCTTTTGCAACAGATTTTCCCAGTACAATATGAAATCTGATTTCCTGACTGCCGCTTCCATAGCTGTTGACTGTGGATCCAAGTAAAATTAAATCTCTGACAACTTTAATCATTTCTCTCTTTATCATGATATTGCTTATTGGTCCAGTTGTGAAGATTTTCATTTTTTTCATGTTGAGGTATGATCCATACTGAAGCCTGTAGTCTTTGATCTTTATCAGTATTTCAAGTCATCCTCAGTTTCATCAAATGAGGTTGTGTCCTCCAATCCTCATGCCATGGTCTTCTTCAAATAGTCCAGCTTCTTGGATGATTTGCTCAGCATACAGATTGATTAAGTATGGAAAAAGATATAACCCCAATGATAACCTTCCTGATTTTAAACCATGAGTATCCCCTTGTTCTGTTTGAACAACAGCCTCTTGGTCTATGTACAGGTTCCTCAGGAGAACAATTAAGGGTTCTGATATTCCCATTTGTGGTAGTTAAGGTGATGTGTCAACTTGGCTGGGCCTGCTTGAGTGGCTGGGCAGCTGGTGCTAGCTACTTCCCATGATAAGACTGGCAATCACCTCCATGGTAAGATCTACCACAAGCAGCTGAGTAGCTGCTTTAGGCATGTGGTCTGCTTCCCATATGTAAGAAGCAGTTTTGGGAGTCGTCTCTAGCTTATGGCACCTTTGAAACCTACATGTAGCTGAGTCATTGTTCAGCAGCCTGCCATGCTCTGTCGATCTTAGGACTTTCAATGGACTTGAATCAGTGGCCTGCCGTATTATTTGGTAACATTGGGACTGTGCCTTTTCACTTGTTGATCTTGGGTTTTTTAGCCTCAGCAGCCAGCAGCTGAGTGAAGAAAGCCTCTAGCTTCAGTGGGCCAGGAGCAGGAAGCAGAGCTAAAGCCCAA